GCAATAAACCCCTGATTCTTACGTTTTTGTCGTAAACACACTAAACTAATGTTGTCGTTTCACATTTGAGTCACATTTTGGCCATGCTGCGGGAATCCTTACCTATAACTTTAGTGTTTTTTTGCCTTGTTGACACGTCCATATGTTGTTTTTCATATATTTGAAAGAGCAGAAGAGGCAGGCAACACCTCGGCTGTCTTGACATTGCAGCATATCGATGACGATCTCAAAAACACGGCTTCATGCTTCCAGGGTTTCACACTTAACCAACCTGAGGAGTTTTCTGTTTCATTTTTCATCTTCAGAATCAGTTTGTGGCTGAGTTAGTACAATATCAGAAGCTGTGTAGCGAGGAGCAGTTTTACAGCGTTGGACGTGAGCTGGTGTGCTCGAGCTGCAGCGAGAGAGATGAGGACTTCAGAGAACCATAGTTGAGACAGAAAATGATCATTTACATGGACAAAAATCTGTAACTTTGATGGATGAAATTTTTAGAAGTTTAATCAAAGACCACGGAGGGACTTTAAAGTCATAACCTCTAATATTCCAATCACCTGTTTTTGCAGATGATGATAATAAGAAGCAGTTGTGGTTTTTTTCGAGGCTATTAATCAAGATCTTTAGGCTTGGCGTGTGTTTTCTGGAAGGCGTGTTGGTGGGTGTTTACCTCGCTGCATGTCGAAGTCAGCCAAAGTGCCTACCTCAGTGTCCAGCCTCTACCCTCAGGCCATTTCTCTGCTCTGCACCCATCCGGCCACTGTCACCTCCCATCGGGGAGTATTCCTCTCCATTACCAGCCTCTGTCCATCCCCCACTTAAATAACAGCAGCACTGCCACTCCGGGCCCATTAAGATACTGCCGGCACTGCCGCAGCCTCACACACAAACAGCCACAAACTGCCCAAGCCTTTATAAATAGATGGCACGAGAAGTAGAGAGAGAGGCTGGTTAGAGGAGGTAAATTATTCCAAAACAGCCAAACAGGACTGAGACTAAGAGCCCCCCACCACTCTGGCCTCCTCCAGCTCCTCCTTTCAGGTGTCACTTTCGGCTGACTCAATTTTGCACTGTAATGGACCTCCTGGGTCAACTACTTTTCTCCCACCTTTCCTTCCTTTTTTATCTCGCACTGCTCTCTTCATCTATCAGCGGCTGACAACACCTTTACTCACTTTCCCGCAACACACAATTATTCCCCGGACTGACTGTATAGTTTGTACCACTTAATTTTGTCCGACGGTAATCAGAGTCGCTGCAAACTGGGATTTGCAGACAAAAAGGCCGAATGATGGCAGATAGACAGATTGCTGAGAAGCATGGATGAAGCATCTGGGATGTCGACCACAGTTTAAAGAGAAAAGGTGTTTCAAAGTCTGGATTTACATCTATATGTATATTCTGGTTGGCCGTGCCAGACAGACCGAATTCACAAACAGTCTGCAGCATATTCAGCTTTATTTGGACTGGTATTTTTTCATGTGGATTTCATACTGATTAATTATCCAAACAGTGTCTTTTAACGCCTCGTTTCATTATTATTATTCAGTGTTTTGTAGTAGAGTGTGGAATTGGAGCTAGTTGGACTTTATCCCACCGTTATTTTGTGCATTAATCAGGCACAGAATCGGGCTAGGTTTAGGGAAACGTCAAGGTTTAGGATAAAATAAGTGCTTCATTAAAGTTAGAGGACTTTTGCCATCATGGTTAGAATAATAAATATGCATTTGTGGTTTAGGATGGTCAAGTTGTGTTACTGTCCACTGCTTTGTCCACCCATCCGCCCGCCCTGACCTCCTCCTTTGCTTGTGTCATACCTGTGACAACCACTAGAGGGTGTTGTCACATGAAAGTGAATATACTTAAGGGGGATTTTATGTGAAAACTAATGCAGACCAATGCAACAAGTAAATTCTACTGAATCTAAAGCTTCTTTGTGACTTTATATTTATCGTGGAAGTCTTGTTAGGTGTTGGTCGCATACTGAACTGCAGCTTATTTAAAAGTGTTTCTACTGTTTTGTTCATTAGCAAACATGACGAAGGCCAAATACGAGCAGTTTCTAGATGGTTTTTTTTGCATCTGCCACATTTTTACTCATTGTAGGTGCATTTTTCACGACAGCATACAAAAAAAGTCGCAGAATTTTTGTCATGTGACTTTCACTCGATGCTAAGACACTCATGGCTTTTTTTATTTTTTATTTTTTTACAGAATCAGGTTAGAACAAATGCTTTATTTTTTAGTGGAATGTTAACTAAGAAACGTAGAATAAAGTGATGTTGATTAAATGTCGTTATTTTAAGCTTAGATTTGGTTTAATTTCCAGACGAGTAGTTCAAGGACTGTCGGAAAGTTGATATCCAATCATTTTCTAAGTTTTTGGCTTTGATAAATGGTGCAATTTCGTTAAAAGAACAACATGTTTTCCAACCTGACGACAGGTTTTAAGGTTCAGAGTTAAATGTAATGCGGTCCAGCAACCATGTGCACAGAGTTGAATCATCACCTGTTTGAATACGTCAACAACAACTGAAAAACTAGAAGCCTGGTAAAAGTAGAGCTTGTGCTAGAGCTGTATCGTCGTATTGGCTTGCATTAAATTCCACAGCTGCAACCAATAAAGTGGCCAGTAATTAGCTTTGGGTCATTTTCTGAAATAACAGCATCACCGCCGCTACAGGTTGCTTAACGATGACGTGTAACTGTGGATCACAATTAGGCTCTTGCTCAAACAACTTGGGACATTATTTGTCGTGGGTCACAGAAAAACACCTGAAAGATTTTTGCAGTGGCAGGTCTTCAAAGCTCAAAGTAGAGGTTCGGTCCTGGATGTGTTCTGCGGTGTTTAGACAGCAGCGTGTTTAAATGTCCGTCATTTCCCGGCGGTTCGTTTGTACGTTCCGCCCTTTGTTCCAGGTCATTCTTGTCCGTATTGGTCTCGCCGACTCTTTGCTCTCTGCTGCTCTTTCTCAGATGTTGTTGCTTTGTTAAAAACAGTGACTGTCAGAATCCTTTTTATAGTTGATCCGTAATTGCTGACACACATTGTCCACCATTCAACTAAATGTGTCGCGCCACTGTAACTGGTCTTTCTTCAGAGCGCTCTTTTGTCGTCCACTTTTTGTTCCCCGGCTTTGTTTGTTTTTTTCTGTTTTTTCTGTGTTTGTTTGAGGCTGTGAGTTGGTATCTGGGTTTCATATTTCCTCCGTTCCTTTGCCCCGGCCGGAGGTCAGAGGTCTACTGACCTCTTACATTCCAAAACCTTTTTTTTCCCCTCCTAATTCTCTATCTGTGGTCAAAAGTCACTCTCAGTTCCACTCCACCCCCCACCCAGGTCCAACACTTACACCATTTTCATTTTCTTCCTTTACAAATAATAATTTCCTCTTTAATGTGACCGTAAAAGATTTGTTGTGATGTGACCTGGAGGACAGGTCTTCTGTTTATGCTCCAGTCCGCTGACAGATAAGATAACTGATAAACTAGCTTGGAAGTGACTGGGAAGCAGGATTGTCAATCACTTGCAAGAAGTCCTAAAGGGATCCCAGAAGCAATGAACTCCATTCAACAGTTTCTTCATTGTTGAAAGCAGGGACAAAAAAACAACAACAAAGGTACTTTAGCTCTACGTTCAAGTTTGCATTTGCACAAACTAGTACGCTTGCTTCCCATTTTGAACTGCAGGAGAGGCTGAAGCTCGTGCAGCAAATGACGAGTCTTTAGTTTGTCCAGAGGGTGGAGCTGGAGGAAACTTCACGCTGGCATTACATTTAATGGCAATCTGCCCAGCTGAACTGAATTTTTCTTGTGTAGAAGTGCCAAATCTACTCATTCGGTCTCATCCTCCAAGCAGCGTAACTTTCGTCACCTGTAGGGCTGACAGGAACTCCAGCTTCCGCCAAGGATCTAATGAAACTCCCGTAGAATCGCCTGCATCCTTTTTCTGTCACACGGGGAACGTTTGCTGATGTTTATTTCTCTCCCTCCACCAACTTTGAGTTTCTGCGTTGGCTTCCTCTTCTGCAAAAACCGCATCTTTTACCTGCTTTCCAGCAACCCCGTCCTCCCATCATCGTCCTCCAGCGATGTGCTTCCCCTCCCTCGCCCCCCTTCATCGCCGTTCTTTAGCGTGCAGAGCAGCCGAGACAGTGATTGATCTGGTGTGGAGGCTGTCGTGGGCCCTCCTCCTCCTCCAGTGGTTATGAACATGAGGCGGGCTGCTCTTCATAGATTTTTAAATTAGTGTCAGCTTTGCCCCAAAGATGTGTTATTGACTGATGAAATAGAAACTGAGCTCCAAACACTCAGTCCTTCCCCAGAGTTTTCCCCAGCCTGGTAATTGAAAAAGTGTGAAGGGAGTGTGTTCAAGAGAGCGTGCCACCGTGTTTGTGTGTGTGTGTGTGTGTGTGTGTGTGTGTGTGTGTGCGCTCCTGTGTTTGCGATTTTATGTGTTTGTGCGCTCGCAACTGTGTGCTCTTTATCTCTGCTGGAGAAAAATGCACACTGCTCGCTGGAGTCAAGATTCGATTGAAGTATTGCATAGGAGATCTTTATCGTTGTGCACACCCACCCTGGAACATGAGTATTGTGTGCAGCTCTAATCCTATAAATACAGTATTGCTTCATGTGAGCCTGTGAAGGAACGCTTAGTAAAATATAGCGCGGCTGAGCCCAGGACATCACACATGAACTGTTATGTGGCCTGTATCTTAATGACTGTGAGCCTGCACAACCTTCAGTGCGATTTGTGTGAGGGAAGCTGGCACTGGCTGTCACTGTGGCTCTGCCATGAAGTGCTGCTGGAGGAGCTAGCACCCCTGGCTAGAGTTTGAAACCAGCTCAAGCAAGAAATGCGGTTTCTTTTCTAGCCCAACTTGGGTTTGATTTTTGCAGTTCTGGCCATGTTGATTTGGAAATGCATCAGCAAATAGACAACAAGTTGTAATAATTGTGATAAATGTCAACGCTAATTCGTTTGTTGTCGTTTTTTTTCTCTGCAGGGTCGGACATGGCCATCTTCTGCCTGCTCTGTGGGAAGCGTTTCCAGACCCAGACAGCGTTGCAGCAGCACATGGAAGTCCACGCCGGCGTCCGCAGCTACATTTGCAGCGAATGCAACCGGACTTTCCCCAGCCATACTGCACTCAAACGTCACCTACGCTCACACACAGGTCAGTGGAAGCGCTCGTCGTCCGGTTTCTCCTGTAGCTCTGGATCACAGCAAACCGAGCCCAGCAGTTGTAGTCTTCTTCTTCCACAGCCACGTTCTCCAGCTGGGGATGGGAAATCCCTCGGCTCTCCAGACCAAATGGGATGTGTAATCCCTTTGCTGTTTTCTGGGTCCGCCCTGGGGTCTGCTCTCCAGTTTAATCCCAAATGCCTCCCCCCGGGTGAGATTCTGGGAGACCTCGTAATCAGACGTCCGAATCACCTTCGACGAGAGAGGGCGGCGGTTTATGTTTTGTGTTTGTTGTGATGCCGACTCCCCCACACGAGGAGCCGCTCGCATCCCCTTTTCCCAGAGTTCAGAGCGTACAGTGGGTGAGGACTGGATGATAGACTGACTGAAACAACGGGAGCCTCCCTTCACGCTCAGCTCCCTCAACTCCATAACAATTTTTTTTTAACCCTCTCAACCCGGAGCAGATTCTGGGTTTTTTTTTAAAGCTCCTGTCACATTTTTCACTCCTGCACCTCTATGGAAACAGAACAACCATGGCTAGAAGGAGAGTGAACTTAAAAAGATATTCTGCACAGTGTAAACTAGCTAAATACCGTAAATATTAGAAGACACACACACACAAAAAACAGAATTTATGATGCACATTCTACCCTGAAAGAAATGGAATCAAGTGCCGACAATACTGCAAGAAAATGATACGTCTGCATAGTACAGATATTTTACTGCTTATGTTTTTTAATTTGTTTCTAAACTTGTCGACTGTCTGCAGCTCAGCCGAATTATTACCACATGACTATCAGCTGACCCACTAGCAGCCTTTTCTTTATGTCAAGAAACACATAGATTTTTAGATTTTTGCAGAATCTGATTAGAGAATAGGGTTTTTGGTTTTCTAATTTGTAAATAACACGTGATTGTGCTAAAATATGACGATTTTAAGCTTAGATTTGGTTTCGTCTGTGACCGAAAAGTGCACGATAAGTTTAAACACTTATGAAGGAAAGCTTGTTCTTTAAAAAAAACAATGATTTTTTTCTGTTTTTACAGTTTCTGGCTCGGATAAATCGGTTAATTTTGGTGATTTTTAAACCTTAACATGCCCTTCAAACCCACCTGTGGGTTTCTGGAGGGTTAGACAGATTAGCTATTACTAAAGATATTGACTGCATGTTGTAGAAGTAGCGTGCAGAAATGATGAGCTCATAAAAACAACAACTTTTCATTTGATCTAGTGTACTTGTCAGCTCCTAACATCCACTAATAACGACCCGAGATACTGCAAATTCTAGTTTTAAAGACCTCAAGTATAATTAAAGCTGATATTCTATTCATACGGTGCATATTTATCTACTCATTTATGTTTAATATCAGTGCAAAAGCCTATTTTTTGGCACACTCATTGCAAACAAATCCATTTTTTTTCCTCTGATTTTTCAGATTCTGAAGTATGTTGCCGCCTCCCACCCGTGCGTATTAGCGTAAATGAATAGCCGACTATGAATAAAAGGGTTTTGTACAGCTGTAGTAGGATGAGGACAAGGGGTTGTCGTCGATAAATATAGCTTACAGTATCATAGAGGGGCCTGTTTTATATTAGAGTGAATTATGTTATCCCCACCCAGTCGCACTGTTACTTTAGCTGCAGCTGAATAAACAGCATTAATTCAGGTCAACGCAAAATGAATTCTGCAGCAGTCACACGAAGCTTATTTACAGTGACTATTTTTTGTAGTTTTTTTTTTTTTTTTTACTTTCCCCCCCCTCCCTTCGGTCCGCTAGTAATTCTCTCGGTGCTGGCTCTCCACTGAGACGAGGCCAGGATACTAATACATTTTTTCGAGGGAGCAGAGGTAGCCTGACGGATGCGGCTATTCAGAGTGGAAAAAAAAAAAAAGAAGAAGAGAGAGAGAGAGAGAGAGAGGGAGAAAGCGTAGCCATGACAGAATATGAACACATGGAAATGAATCCCATTTCACCAGCGAGGGATGGACGCTTTTTTTTTCTTCCCTCTCTCTCCCTCTGTCTCTCACCCAGCCGCCTGTCTGCGACCTTAAATAACAGTCTCACTGTCAGAGCCGATTTAGCTCACCGGCTCACGGATAAATATTTGAAACGAAAGGCAGTGAGATGAGAGCAGTCGGCCCTATTTACAAGTCAGGCGAATATACCATTAGTGTGTGATGGTGGTGGTGGTGGTGGTGGTGGGGTCTGGAGGGGGTGGGGGGGCGGCGGCGGCGGTCGCTCGAGCCGCCTGTACAGTAGCGATGCACACATCTGTTCCGTGGAGCAGACATTGGAGAGGACACATGCAGCGTCTCTGATCCACCTGCCCACCCGGGCGACGCAAATGTCACCTCGGCTTCGTCTCCGGAGCCGCAGATGAGACTTTGCAGCCTCGTGCCACTTTGAACCTCATCCCACTGTGGGCGTGTGTTAAATCACAATGAGCCAGCCGTGAAAGCAATCGTTTAAATATGATGCACAGCCTTTTGTCGAGGAGGGGAGGAGGGGAGGGAGGGGAGGGATTATAAAGTCAGCAACTCACGCAGCCATCATGGGCGCCAGAAATAGGTCCTAATTTACCCTCCCAAAAAAGTAGAGGCATGGTGTTCCTCTGCATTTACACTTTGATGTTAATAATCTCATTCACACTTTGCTGGGTAACAAGGCAAAAAATAGTGCTTAAAAACAGACTGAGATGTCACCCCTCGGAGAACGAGCTCTCTAAATGTACCCACACGTCGTCTGGTTTGTTGGTACCGAGACACATTTGCGCTGCCATCGTTAGCAAAGTCCATCCAGTGTGGACATCAGTTCATTGCAGCCTTTTTATGTTGTGCTGCGTCCAACTTATCAGTGGGGAGGACACACACACACACAAAAAAAATCAGAAACGACATTGTGCAAGGCCGAATATAGATCATCCAGCAAATAATCAGAAATTTAATTAATAAGTTGACCTTAATTACCTTATTTTCACTTGCGTCGAATGCTGCATCGGTGCCGTTGCTAAAAAGCACTCTGTCGTCTTTCAACGACGTTTCGGCTCTTTTCACGACCTCTAAATGAAAATGTAGGTTAAACACACGAGCGTGTACGTTTGTGCGGCCCTGAATAGTGTTTTCTAATCTCCCCGCAACAAACCGGAGGCTGAGGCTGTCTGAATGTAGCTTTAGAGTCGAAACCTAAATTAAAGTCTGTCTGTGCCCATGAAGCTTATCAATTAGGATCTTTTCTAAACCTGGATTGCAGAGATAGCTGGAGAGAGGATGCTGGGTTGTTGTTTTTTTATTTATTTTGCGAGTAAACCACATTTCAGCAGCTGCAGTAGTTGCAGTGGAAATGTTTAAGCCGTTTATGTTTCGCCGGAGAAATGCATTTTGTCATTTCTGTGACAGTGTGACGCAAAAGACAACAGTTGTACCATCAATAGAAAAAGCGTCACATATCAGCCATCACGGTGCGTTTGATTCATATCACTCAACCTACAGCTGCATATAACTGCTAAGCAGATACTTTAATACCAGAGACGGGTGAATGAGACATGTCTGAATCTTATTTCCTCTGTGCTCAGAGTGACTCATCGCCTTTAAATTGGGATGCACAAGATGTGAGTCAAAGGCAGCCGTTTGTGTTTAACGTTCGGCTACGAATGTTTTCTCTGATTTCAAAATTAATCTCACAAAAATACATCCCAGCCCGAGATGACCCCAAATCCTGTTGATTTCATTTCATTCTACACACATCTATCCAGATGTAATGTGATTTTGGTCGGACAGGAGTTTCTCTTCAAGGTGTGGTATCTTTGAGGTTAAAAACAAGAGCACACCTGAGTGTTCTTTCTTGAGTTTTAATGCAGTATGGAGTCATTAATAGGTCATGCCTGCCCGTCTTTATAGGGATGACTTCAGGTGGCAGGGAAGGAAAGTTCCTCACATGCAGCCATTTTGACTTGTGTTCCTGGATGTGGTCACTCAGTGCTCCACCTGTTCTGTGCTGTAGTGTTCATCCACCTGTTGAGCCCCCAGCAGTGTGTAATAATAATAATGATAATAATAATAATAATAATAATAATAATAATAATAATAATAATAATAATAATAGTATTATTGAAAATAAAGGTGAAAATTTGGCAGCTCAGGTACAAAAAGAAAATACATAAAAAATAGTGAAGTACTGTTTTGCACAAATCAGGAAAAAAATAAAATAAATAACTGAAAATATCATTTAAAAAGTGTTATTTTTGGTGGATTTAAATGCAGTAAAATAATTTAATTTTACAATAACACACTGTGAACAAGCAAATTAATATTTGTAAAAACACATTTTTTTAAAATTTATTTGGCTTTTATGTACAGAAATATTTTTATTATTAATTTTTTATAATCAACATGTAAATAAATACATATTTTTGATTTTATTATTTTTATTTTTGTATTTTTTTTGTCCTCGATATACATCATTTTTGTTCCAAATAACAGCAAATATCTCTCAAATAATCCTATTTTTTCTTGTATAAATACAGTAAAAAAAAATGTAAAAAATTAAAAACAGGTCAAACATTGTAAAAAAAAAAAAAAGAAAGAAATGGATTAGTATTTATTTTTAAAAAAATCTGTATTTATTTTTTTGATGTGGACATTATTCATAGATTGCTGTCATTTTTTTTCACAACATGTAAATTAAAGCTTTTTGTCTGCGATTTTGCTCGCCATTATCTGTAATTTACACAAAACATGGAAAATCTTATAATAACAGTAAATTGTCCCAAAAATGACAGTTAAAACATTAATTTCGTACAATGTGGACAGATTTTGGCTCTCACTAAACAATTTCTTGTAGCCAAACACTGCAGGTGATCGGTTGCTCTTTAATATATTACAGTCATGTTGTTTTTTCATTGTTTGGCGTGCAGCTGAGGGTGGCTGAGGTTCGGGTGAGGCGTCTCTGTTTCAGGCCGTACAGTAAGGCAGCCTTAAGCACATAAACGCACCGAAGAGGCTCTCAGACGCACTGATTCCCCGTCGGCATTTTCTTCAAGGAAACTGGAGTCAATTTTGACCGAAATCCACCGTAAACGCCGAGTATCTCAATTCCCAGTGTTCAGCCCTAATTTTAATGGACAGGCTGTGGCAGCTCATCTTCCATAGAAAGCTTTCTAGATATAGCCGGGTTATTGGTCGAATCAGCGTTCTGTTGTATCAACTGACAACAGCGAGCAGCAAAAAGCACTTTTATGGACATTCATTACGTGTGCTTCATTTTACCTGTCTGCAGCCTTATCTTTTGAAAGCAGCCTCGGCGGCTACGGGCTCTGACACTGGATCACCATTTAGGACGAGTGGAGGGGGGAAAAAAAAAAAACATTTAATGGTGTTTATTTCAGCATCTTAATCCTACCATCTCTCCTCCTCTGACTCGCCGGTGCTGCTCTTATTTTCCCTCCATCCACCTGCGGTTTCATCTCCTAGCACGCCATTACGCTGCCGTTTTTATTTTATACATCTTTATGGCGAGCGTGTACAGTACAGCGGAGGCACCAGCTCACAACGTTGGCTTGTGAAAGTGGCAGTGGTGGCAGCTGTGCCGCTCGCCTTCCTTTAGCAGCAGACGTACACACTCTCTCTTTACAGACCAGGCCTTCATTAATATTCTGTTGTTGTGCACTGTCTGTGTGTAAGTGTCTGTGTGGTGTTTTTTTTTTTTTTTTTGTTTTTTTTTTTTTTTTTTTTTAAACTCTGAGCCAATTTGCTGTCTGCTGTGGCGGGGTGTTTTGTGTTCGCAGCTGTATTTGATAGTGCTACAGCCAGAGAAAGAGAGGGAGCCGGGGCGAGAGAGGACTGAATTGAATTTGGAGAGAGAGAGAGAGAGAGAGAGAGAATGAGCCAGTTTCTGGTGCTGGCAGTGATGGAGCCCGGTGATTTACAGCCTCTTACCGTAGATAATGAACACGCCCCAGTGTGCCCATGGGCACCGTGCACCCCTCAGCAGCCCCTTTGGGGTGTCAAAGGAGGTGAGGAGGAGGGGGTGGGGTGGGGGGGAGGCGGGTCAGGAGACGCAGGTGGTGATGCTCGGGGGCACCCTTGGGTTCTCTCACCATGCTGTGGTTCCACCTCACTGTGCCGGGTCCTCATCTGCCATGTGGTCACACCGGAGAGAGAGAGAGAGAGAGAGAGAGAGAAATGGAAACGGGGAAGGAGAGAAGAAATGGAGGACAGAGGAGGAGACGGTAATAGCGGCAGATTTAGGATGGACAGAGGACGTGTCCCCATTATTCCGCGGCCCCCCATGAGAGCATCCTGACAAAATGAAGTCCTGTCTGCCCCTTTACATCCTCACAATGTGATTATAGAATTGTGTCTGATTTATTTAAAGCTCCGCAGCGCAACTTTGCACTCTGGCGTCCCCGAGTGGCAGCGGGAGATAACAGGCACCCTGGGCACCGGCAGGATGCTGGAGTCAGACAGCCGTCCTTTCACTAGATCCACTGTGGAGCTCTATTCCCAACAGGGAAATGCAGCATAATGTGTGATCTATTCTGCAGCGGTCACCAATGCTTGAACTGGAACGACAAAATCTCTTCATCTGTAGCAGTTTTCATCGTAGAACGAGTGCAGTTTGGGAGTTAGCTCGCATAACTGATGTCAATATTAGCACTGAAAACAAACAAAGCATAATAATGATAATTTAAATATGTTACTCACTGCAGTAAGTAAGACAAGCAAAGTTTACCGAAATCCTCAAGAGGATTTGGAGCAATGAGGCTAAACAGGAGTAAATGTCTAAATAAATGTATGAGAGATGTGTCTGTTTAAACGTCTGCTTTCTGGGTTACGTGATTTTAGCAGCCGACGCTAACTACCCCCAGAAGTACATATTTTATGGTGTATTTTTCCGATGCAGATTCGCTGCAATCTTGCATTAAATGTGAAATACAGCGAGCTCTCTCCCTCCTAATTCAAGGTTTTTTCGGCGATGTTTGCCAACAGCAGACGTTAGCACAGCAACAGGACATTAAGCGTGAATCACCCTCCATAGGCCTCCTCTGAGTATTAGCATCCCACTCGCCGGTCTGATCGGAGGCCCTAATTAAAGGCAGGTGAATCCGAGCTCAATTATTATTCTTGCGGCGTCGTGCAAGCCCACCGAGCTCTGTGATGGATTGTGATCTCTGCTGTGGTTGAAACGCTAGAAAGAGCACAATGTCTTACAGCGGGAGCCACTGATAACTTCATGCAGACAAATAAAGACTGTCACTTTTATTGATTTTTACCCAGCCCCCACCGCCGCCGCCATATACACCCACATCCCCTGCTCCATCCCCGTCTCTGTTTTGTCCCCCGCCCCTCCATCCCCCCCCCACCAGCCTTTCCCTTTAATGGGAAATGCGTCCGACATCGCGAGGCGCCCACAACGTTTTCCCCCATAAAAGTATACAATACCCAAAATGTGATCAGCATTTAAAGACTATCCATTCCACATTCCTCTCTCTCATTCCCCGCCTTTTGTCTCTCTCTTCCTAAATAAACCAACTGCGTGCATACTGTATGCACGTACATAAAAATCTCACATAAAATATGCAGGATGGAAGTGAAATTGTCTCTTAACAGCGGGGCAGTGGTAGCAGCACATAACGAGAAATGCAATTTATTCCCTGGCACGTTGCTGCTTGGACAGGCAGATAATGAAAGGCATAGGTCATTGATGGTGACTTAAACCTGCAGCGGTGGAGTGAAATACATTAATAAATATCCACAACATTACTTGGCTAGAGAGTGTAACACAGAGGGGGGAAGCAAATGACGCAAGGAGCAGCTCCTCATCAAACACTGGAATACAATTAGTCTCAGGACCTGCTGGAGAGAGGCTCCTGCAAATCATAATATCCCTGATCATTGACATCTGAATATCCATTACAGCTGCCCTGTGGGGACCTGCGCCGTGGCAGCCCGGAGGAGCAGAATGTGGTATCGTTTTCATTTCTGACGGCGAGCGCGTACTGTACGTCCACCTGCAATAAGTCTCAGGATGGAAATGTGACGCTCCGTAAATAAGATATGTATTCACGCAGTGTGCAAGGAACAGAAACAGACAGCACGCCGCCAATCAGAGCGAAGGAAGACCGACGCCAGGGCTGAAACTCCCCACTTTACCCCCGAATTGTGAAGAATCCCAACATTTTTGTGGTATTTTGACCAGCTGAAGCCAACACCTGTCCACTGATCACTGCTATCGAAAGTGTGGCCTAGTCAGAGAGATGGTTGAGAGAGATTGCGATCCGAATTAGCTCGATAAACCAGCCCCGCGATGCATACGTGAATTACCCTGATGTTCCTTTTTCTGTCCCTGCATTAAACACTGTACAAACCCAAACAGACAGAAGGCGGCTGCCACTGTAACACAGCCATCTTGTTCGACTTTATGACCTGTAAGAGGTGGAGAAAATGGCGTATTTGAATTTGTTGGATTTAAAAAAAACACACATATATCCAAGGATAATAAATTCCACGATGACAAAGTCAGCTCATTATTCCAGGTTTACCACATCAGTCAGGTTATCCATTAGTGCATTGCGACACTGGGACTGCATGGTCAATAATACATCTCATGGCCGGTGAACAGCCGTGACAGGCTACAATTATTTAAGGCTTTGCACAAAGCAGAGCGACAGTGCAGGTGATTTGTAGAGAAAGACAAAAGATGGGTTATATTTGTCTGCCGGTATTAAAGCCTTTTAAGTGGGCTTCCATTAGAACACTGTTGTTGTCGCATTGTGCAGAATAATCAGATGGAGCATTTAGGTATCACAACAGCGTGCTGCATTCTGTGGATGCTGCAAACCCACAGATGCTTTAGTAAAGTTTGATTTGTGCACGTAAACCTTCACGTTTGTGTTGTTCGTTGGTCTCATGTGCTTTGTCACGACAAGATCCCGTCTGCAGATTAAGTAAACGTAACCCTTTTTTATTTTTTTATCCCACTTTTCAGCAGGGGACCACCCATTCGAGTGCGAGTTCTGCGGGAGCTGCTTCCGAGACGAGAGCACGCTGAAGGGCCACAAGCGCATCCACACCGGGGAGAAGCCCTATGAATGTAACGGCTGTGGGAAGAAGTTCAGCCTCAAGCACCAGCTGGAAACCCACTACCGTGTGCACACAGGTACCGCCGTCAAAAACAAGTCCCAGAGAACAGGGACGCCGGCTAATGTCACAGTCTGTGTTAATAATCAAAGCACTGGGAACTATTTCGCTTCATGTCCTGTTCCAGAGTCTAAAAATACCTTCAACTCCATCATGTGCAACAGATTGTACCATCGCCAGGCAACAATTTGTGGTTTTAGAGCGAGGAATTTTTCTCTCCTGTTTATCCATCTGCCGAGAACGTCTTATTCACCGTCTCCGGCTACAGTAGTGGTTTCGCCATATTTAGCCGGTGAGCGAAGGTTTTTGGTTTTGGGCCGTGATGGTACCAAACCTGGCAACCGCACTGCAACACAGCAAAACTCTGAGAAACTGGGCGGTTGTTGGCGATTAAATAGATTCTCCCTACACACAAGGTCACGTTTCTTTGAGATACAGTGGGTTAATTAATGGGCTTTGTAGGTGTTGGTAGTTGTAATTATGAACAGGTTAACTGTTTAACCGCTGCACCCAGACTTGGAATTGGTATCGATCCTCTCGGACACAACGCTAATGAGCTCGTTTTCCAAAATTCGGAACCACTTCTGACGTCATTTTATGTGTGTTAAAAAAAAAAAAAACACATTGGGCCTTTTGTAAACTCTCAGATACTATACTGGTAGAAACATGCAGGATATGGAGCCTGTGTTGTTGGAAAATCCGAGTTGCAAGGCACAGAGCAGACCAGATGAATATCTTTGTTGCTGTGATACAGTAGATGGATGTCTCAGAAGACTTTGTATTGATCCCGGTATATTTAGAGCCCCATAAAGATGTTGACACAGTGATAAGCTGGCTGCCCTGGAGAATGAGTGCACGCCACGTACCAGACAGAGTGAGGATACCACGAGTGCTCACCAGCGTGGCACACAGCCAAGGCTTTATGCTTCCTCACCGTCTCTTTTTCTCAGCAGCGGCAGCACCCTCCCATCTCCCATTCAATAAGCCAGCTGTTAAGCCACACTATCAAGGCAGCCTGTCCAATAATTGGCTCCCCCCCCGTCCACCCTTTCCCCTTTTGTGTGGGGGAGGGGGGCTTTACGTTAAGCCGGAGAGCAACAGCAGATAACAAGAGCAAGTGACAAGCTCACAGTCAAAGGCCACCTCGCACAAAAGGGAGCTGCTTGATGAATCATCGACATTGGCAACCTAACCCTCCCCCCCGCCCCCTTCTCTCCACACATCCCAAATGCCAATGGCGGATCGATACCCGGGCCCCATTTGCAATTCATTATTAGCTGGTTATTTGAGGCGACCCTGTTTACAGTCTGGTTATCAATATCAGCATCGTGCAGGTGTCCGCGCGGCCGCAAAGAAACTCGCAGCACTGTATTTATGCTTATTGGCTAAATGGCGCCGTCACCCCGGGCCCGCCGCAGAGGTCAAGGTTAACCGAGGTTGTTGGGGCTTCAAGAGAACGGACCGAGCGAGCCGCGGAGGCGCGAGGACGCCCGGTCTCGCCAGCGCACATGTGCGAGGCTCCGGCTGAAAGGTGACAGCGAGCGCCGGGCCCAGATCACTTCCGACAGCTCATTTCAAATGCCATTGGTAAAGGTCAGCATTTACATGTCTAATTTGCGTCTGCCGGCTTGAGCGCTGGTGGATTATTCCCTGCCATCACTCAAATCATTAGCACGTTTAGGATGGCCGCTGTTGCTGAATTGAAATGTGCCTCTTGAATATAGCAGCCCCCACAGCAAGAAGGCAGCGTTGCACTTTGATTTATGACACCTTCAGGGGTTCTCTGTGGCGGCAGCTGGATTTTCTGTGTAATGTACCATAGATTGGGTGATTAGATAGCATATTCTTTAAAAAGCACTACCTGGAATTTTTGCTCATTTAGATGTTAATCTGAATTTAATTTGCGGTCGGTTCTTATCTCGGCTAATACGAGTCTGTTTTTGTGTTCGCACGTTTAAACGATAAATCATGTTTATTACAACCAGTGTTCTTACTTTGGTGGAGGTTTTTTTTTTATTATTATTTCAGTTCTGATAACATAATACTCACTCACAAGTAATTTGTGGGATCTGGGAACACTCACTTTGCTACAAGCATGACAGGACGAGAGACACGAGTGCTGACAAGCAACAGAAAAACCCCTTTAAGAGGTTTTGAGCTGCTTTTTGCTGCAGTCGACTCCAGCAGATGATTGAGACGAAGATAAAAGCTCCAGAAAAAAGTTTTAAAACGTGGACCTTGTGTAAATAAACCTCCTAAAAGTATTTACTCGCCTAGATGCAAGAGTTTGGATTTTCTGGTTTCCATAATTAGGGAAATAGACACAACATTAAAAATCAAAAGCTAGTTATGTTCTCTACATGGACTTCTGCTGCCACATTTGATAGTTGCACATTCGATTAAATAGCAGGACATCTGTTTTTCATTTTCTTCTGTTGCACAGTTTGATGTGGGGAGAGAAAAAAAACATCCACAGTTCCACAATCCCAACACCGGGATCTTTTTAACAGAACAATGACACAGGAACGGGTTTCTGCCCCCTCAGCCACAAGAATAATTAGACGACGTTGGCTGTTAAGGGATATTTTGATGAACCTGACTGGCGCCATGTTGGCACTGTCTCTCCGAGGTGAACAAACCGAGCTACTGTACATGTCGCTTTTATTCGTCTTTCTCTTTTGAGTTGTACCAATTACTGAAGGCGGTTGGAGTGACTTTAAAGAGTCTTTTACTGCCACACAGTGCTGTTCAGGAACAGTTGGGACTTCACTTCTGGGTTTTTGCTTGTCGCTGACTGTGTGCGCAGTCCAATTATCATAACAACACCTGAATTTCTTGTGGGCCAACGGGGTGAAATCTGCGGTCTCTGAATCAGTATTCTCGCGTCTCAACGGCGCTGTATCAGTGCTGGAGAATGGTCTGGCTGCACCTCATTATCGCTCTGTTAAAAGAGGGGGAAAGCACTTGTTTGTATTTCTTTGAACCAATCACAATCGTCTTGGTGCCGAGCCAAGGATGCAGCGACGGTGCTCCTGCAAAATAGAGCCGAGGGAGCATCGTTTTGGTGGAGCGTTGGCATGCAGGGGCGAGAGCGCTGCCGTGTAAATGGCTAATTCACTGAAAGGACAAAGCATTGACTGGATATAAAGATGGAGCCCACCGTAACATCGCCCACAAGTTCTCTGAAAAGTAGTTTTGAAGCTTCTTGTCGTGGTTCCAACATGTGCTAATTATGTGTAACGTTGTGCCTTAATACAATTCAAACAAGTGAGTTATATAAAGAACCATTATTTGCACTGTTGACACCATATTTAGCTATAGACATCAGAAACATGTTAAACAACGTGTTAACCTCCGCGCTAAATTAGATATTCTGACTTTGGGGACTCACGATTGTAACCTGCCTCAAGTGGCCATTTGAGGAACTGCAGTTTGTGCAGTGGTTGCCAGCTCAAAGGTTGTTTGTTTTCCCATATCTAAGGGGGAGTAGACATTAGAAACTTACACCTGCAGTCTACATTTGGTGAGTCAGTCCCATCCTGTAGCCGTTTAATTTAAACCTTCCTTACAACAGTCCGTTGATTGAGTTTTATCACAACATGAGTCTCTATTATTGTAGTTTTTGGCAACCGTTCCTATTAAAGCGTAACGCCAGGTAGTCACAGATGTGTCTGACGAAGAAAAACGAGCCATAATATCCTTAGAATAGTAATTAGGGGTTATTGCCGTATTTTGGGTGTAGTCACGTGTAGTTTCAGTCAGATGACGGCTGAACTGTTTACAACCCGTGTGGCTGTCAAACCGCTTGTGTTTCTGGCCGTGTCCAACACTGTTTTAGCAATGCAGCTAACAATTATTTACATAGTTCACTAGTTTGTGAATAGGCCAGAACATGGAGTAAGTGTTAGATAATAAGTGTTAAAGACTAAGATGACATCCTTCAATGTTTTGTTTCATCTGCAACTCAAAGATATTCAGTTTCCTGTCATAGAGAAAGAAAGAAACCAGAAAATATTCACATTTAAAAAGCTGGAATCAGAGAAAATTGACTACTGACCTGGAAATAGTTGGTGATTGATTTAGTAGTTAGCATGTAATTGACTAACCAGTTAATTGTTACAGTTCTAGTCAGTGTTTATCAGATCTGTGCAGTTACCATAAGCGCTGCATCATAACTGTTGGAAACAACTGCCAGAACTACAAAGATAAAACCCACCTCGTAATAAATGCTGCTGCCCATAAATTACTTATAGCAGTTTAACTGCTCAGGAAATGGAAGATCTGTGCCGGCTTTTTGTGCAAACATAAACAATACATTACATTCACAAGGATGCTGCGTCTCCCACACTTGCTTTCCAATGCATTGCTTATGGAGAAGCCAGGACTTTTCTCATCGTGTTAAAATAAGGTTGAATCTGCTGCGCTTGCAACCAGCACCTCACAGACTAACACAGTTTTTCCTTCTGCTCATTGATGTTCTGTTTAGCTGCCTTCAGCAGGGGAGGGGGGATAATACTGTTTTTGAAAGGCACCAGTGCTAACACTGTCTTCAACCCCGCCCTGTCGTCCTTAGGTGAGAAGCCATTCGAGTGCAAGCTGTGCCACCAGCGATCCAGGGACTACTCGGCCATGATCAAGCACCTGCGCACCCACAATGGCGCCTCGCCCTACCAATGCACCATCTGCCTGGAGTACTGCCCCAGCCTGTCAGCCATGCAGAAGCACATGAAAGGCCACAAGCCAGAAGACATCCCCCCAGACTGGCGCATAGAGAAGACCTACCTGTACCTCTGCTATGTCTGAGACCAGGAAAAGCGAATGAAGAGGGGTTGGGAATCGGGGGTTTGGTTGAGAGGTAAGGGGAATGTAATGGAGCGGATAGGAGGAATGAGTGTTGACGATTTGAGGAATGTCAACGTCGAGGGACTGGAAAGCAAGAGGGGGTTGTTTTCTATTTTTCTTTTCATGCAAAGGCGGCGACGAGCGACGGGGTTAAAAAAAATAAAAATAAATGAGGGGTGGTGATGGTTGGACAAAAGTGCTAAGAAGAGGAAGACTTGGACACTTGGAGAGAGATTCTCCACCATTGTTCGGATTCACCGGGTCATTCACTACATCTGCAACTGTGTTATTGTTTCAGGTCATTTTCGTGCGGCGCCACGAAGCAGGCGCCGCCGCAAGGAAGTGACTTTTTGGATGCTGCTGCCACAGTGATGAGAGAGCAGATTCTCAAGGGCTATCTGAACCTGCACTTCCATGCCATCTGGAACCTTCACTCCATTTTGAGTTGTTTTATCCAGCAGTGGGAAGCGTTTGTTTTGTTCTACTTTGGTATTTGGTGTGTTTACAGTCACACAACGGAAGAATATGTGAATCTGAGCTTTGCTTTAGGCCCCCGATTCATTACCTGCTTTCAGAGAATTAAGGACTTTCTCCTACATGTGTCTCGTGGTTCTGAACTGATTTTTCTCGGGGTCTGAGGAGGACTGACACGCATTTTCCAACATGCAACCCAACGCTCCACAGTTTGAACAAACCGCTTCGGCCCAACGCGGCCCCTCATCTTTTCCTTTGCGAGGTGCAACTGTTTTTCCGTCACTTCTCGTCTCCTGTGCCTCGTCTTCGGCGCAGAAAGGTCCACACAGCAGAAGTCCTTTAGATCCCAGCGGTGGCAGCGAGATAGCCCCTGAGAATCCGCAGCAGAGCCGGTCGGCTTATGCAGTAGATGAAACAGTCGAACTGGACAAGTGGGAGCATTTGAATACTGCAAGCCAAGCGCCCGTTTGGTTGCGATCGTGGGGGAAGATGTTAGTGCTGCTTTTTTTTGTTGTTGTTGTTGTTGTTGTTGGAAGTCTCCCCAGTTTTCTCAGTAGTCTTCCTGGTTCTGCATCTCCGTCGGATGATGGGCTAGAGAAGGTCGAGTCACCACTGGCCACTCGCGGTTCTCCCCAGAGAGCCAACGGCTAACTTGCGTCACTTTTTTTTGTCATATTTTTGTTCTTCTCCTTTTTTTTTTCTTTTTAGCTCTGCATCGTAGTTTATCAAGGCTTGATTGCACAGGTTAAACGAATTACGACAACAGTCTCTGTTTGATGTCGGCAAGGTATATATTTTTTTTCATTAACTCATAACTCGCTATTACAGTACGTCACATTAAAACTCAGCCTATTCACCTATTCAGCAATAGATAACTGGACTGCTTTTATACCATGTACATTTAACCAGATGAATATCATTATCTCACACTAAGGATGAACTACACAAACTGACACATGAACAGTTAACACTTTTTGACCGCAACAGATCTGTCCGTTCAGCACAGGGATGGAAAATGGAAAAAACAAAAAAACCCAAGAAGACGGTTGCTGTCCGTGGGAGTCCTGTGACTTTGAGTGCTAGTAAGTGAATGTTGAAGAGGTGCTGGGAATGCCTTAGCTGCGCACCTTGGCCAAAGGTGCTGTGGTAGTTTGAAGACTGTTATACGGCATCAAAACAAACATGAATGTGAACGCCTGGAAGCCGGGTTCATAGACGGCTGCATCAGAAGAGCAGCAGGTTAACGCTGCCTTTCAGTCAGAGCCTGTAATTCCCACCTCGGAGGTCGTGGTTATTCCCTCGTGGTTCAGAGGAAGGTTTCTCCGAGAGGCGTGCAGCAGCTTAGCCTCGGCCTACGTCCCCTAGAAGATCCACTGTGGGTTTTATTTGAGAATGTGCACCAGCTGGATTGTCGTCGCAATACAGACGTTGCATTCAGATGATGCATGTTCACAAATATATTGGCATCGATTTGACTCAAGTGGAGTGTAATGAAAATGCTACGTGTTAGCTACTTAGCTAGCAGCATTGACAGTGCAGCGCTGACGTCACGGCCGCTTGGAAAACTTTTGCCCCCGAGGTGGGAACGTCCAGCTTCCTGTGAAACGCAGCCGTCGGACCTGTTGGACGGATGCAGCCGCGGGTTTTTCACGGTTGAACCCGAGGCTTTAACGAGCATCACTGCCTGTCACAGCGTTACCTGGGTGGTCACGTACCCAAACGGCCGGTGGAAATTTAAAAAAAAAAAAGGGGTGGGCGGGGAAATCAGTGATTGGACGAGACACGGCCCAGCAGCTGAGGGGGCGACCAGTAAGAAGACAGAATAAATCAACTCTTTCTCTGTGGTTTTGTCCCTTTGCGCTTCGTCTCTCTCTCTCGTCTCCTGTTGTCGTCGTCGTCGTCGTTGTCGTCGTCGTTGCTGTTGTTTGCTGTTGTTGTTATTATTGACCTTGAGTTTGATCTCAACACATCGTACTTGAATTACCTCGTTTTCGTGACCTCATGTTGCTTGTGTTGTTTTTTTTTTTAATTTTCCCTTTCGTTTCATTCGTACACTTTTCGTTCGCGAGTCGGAAAGATGCGTTGCAAGAAACGCGATGAAGCGAAGCGTACGCAGAAAAATTAAGTGCCACGGTGAAGAGATTTGTTTGGTTGTTTTTTTTTTTCTAATGTTGTGTATTTCTTTGTGCATTACTTGTTACCAAACTTGGTATTATTAACCCTGCTTGTTGAAGAGCCGGAAGGTTTGGTCATTTGTTATAAAAGCTACCTCTAAGTTGTTTTCTGTTTTTTTGTTTTGTTTTGGCAAAAGCACATTTTTTTGTGTTTGCATTATTTCGTCATTGCTACTTCATCTCATGCTTTTTTGTTTTGTTTTTCATAAGTTGATTTATGATTGTGTGTGTGTTTTTAAGCAAAATGTATATAAAAGGGTAAGAGATAACACAAGTAGACGCGTGATAGGATGAGAAAAGTCGTTCAAAATGGATGTTTATTCTTCTCTTATAGTCTCCCCCTGCGCCACCGACCACAGAAGAGCAGAGACAAAACAAAAAAAAAGGAAAAAAATCTAAAAAAGAAGCAATTTCGAAGCCTTAAGTGATGAGTAAGAGGGATGCGGCAGATAAGAGGAAGTACTATTGCTTTTTAGGAGGGTTTAAAAGCAAGAATTTAAACTTGAAAATATGTGAATAGAATTGTAGTTTTGTAATGTGAAAAAAAAAAACAAAAAGCGACGAGAAGGTTCATCATCAAAAGAAAGAAAAAAAAAAAAGCAAAGAAGCGCTGAACCGCCCAGGACAGGTCATATTTGCAGCGATGCAGAGTGCGTTGGACAATTTGGAAACTGCAAGTGGTAATCAAAACAGTAAAAACCAGACGGTTAAAAATAGAGATTCTCTCAGCAGACGACGAGCTCTCTTGAGAAAATGAGTGTATTCCTGAACAAGAGCCAACAGAGGCAATTTGATATATAAAAATTGTGATATTTTTGTATTCAGTGTCGGTCCTTTTTCCATTTGTGGAGGGTTACAGCAGGGCACAAATATTTGTATTTCTTTTTATTTTCTTTCTTTTTTTTTTACTGTTTTCTTTCTCTCTCTCTCTCTCTCTCTCTCTCTGGGTGTGAATCATTTTTGCCTTGCTCCTCTTTGATATCGTTGGACAAAAAAAAAGAAAAAAAAAAACAACAACGTGCGTGAACATATTGTAATAATAAGTGTTGCTTTCTGGATGTCAATTGCATTGTAGGTGAAGGACTAAATCTATCCGCCACAACAAAAAAGAAAAAAAGTGTGTGTGTGTGTATGTGACAACAACAAACAAACAAACAAAAAAAAAACAGAAAAAAAGACGCAAAAAAAAAAAAAAAAGGAGAAAAAATAATAAAATACGGGACGGCAGGGGGACGCTGCCAAAACCGACCAATTAGTACTTGTCATTCACAATTTTTCAATCAAACTTGACTGTCAGCGTATTTTTTTTGTTTTGTTTTGTTTTTGTACTTGAAAAGAAAAAAAAAAAAAGAAGAAGAAGAAGGGATGGCATGTCCCGTTTTGGTGTCTTGCCATTTTATTCTCAAACACTGTGAGCTGAGGGGGCTTTTTATTTCCCACCCTCGTATAATATCCACCCACTATGATATACCCAGTCACGGTTCAGTCTGAACGCCACAATGCAAGACCTGTTCAGTCACGTTTATTCCTATCATCGTCCTCTGAATGTTTTCTACTTTTTTCGTGCGGGTGAAAGAGTGCGTAACTATGTGTGTGTGTGTGTGTGTGTGTGTGTGTGTGTGTGTATTAGTGGGAAAATGCACTAATCAGATCAGATACAAAATAAAATGATATTCTATGCCACTTTTTTTTTTCTGTTGGAAAAAAAATATATATATACATTGGCATCGATATAGTTCTTCCCTCAGTGTTCCTCCGATGTTTCTGTACTATCTTTGTGCCTAAAAATGGAAATTGTTCAACAAAAATATCCATCTATATCTGCTTAGTTTTCTGTATTTTCAGAAGAAAAATAAAAAATGGTGTCTCCAGCACCCTAGGGATGTCATGACGCTCGAAAATGACCTGATTTTTCTTTTTTTTTTTTTAATCCTGAATAGAGCAGGGCTTCTTTTTTTTCAAGGACTGAAATAAACCCTTGATGCTATTGAAATAGCGATCGGGATTCTTCTGTTTTCTTCTTTCTGAAGGCTGTGATTGGCACCTAAAAGCATTTATTTAGCAAAACAAAGCACGAGGGGAGAATTTCAGACGAGCTGCGGTGGCGAAACTTGCTTTCGGGACAAAATCTGTTTCGAATTAAGGCTCCTTCTTCACTCCAGATGCTCTGATTTCCTTTTTTTTTTTGGTTTTTCGTCAGCAACAGGTTTGCTGATGTGAACATGATTTTGTTCTTGGAAGAAAAAGAAATAAAGAAAAACTCCATTTGGTTGGCACTAGGGGCGTTTTTTTTTGTTTGTTTCTCTTCCCTTCTGCTTTGTTTAGGTTTTTTTAAAGTACTTTTTTTTTCCTTTTCTACAAAATGCATTTAATAAAAAAGGGGGATGTTAAATTCGTCAGAGAGGAATCATGGCATCCCTGGAGCTGGCACTCTGTGTTTTGGTGTGGTGTTTCTAGAACAAAGTAGCCATTTCATGCAGTGTTGCAATGCATGTGCCATCGAGGTCTAGACTAAAATTGTTTGAGTAACAAAGCACCAAGACATTGTATTTTTTTATATTAGCACTGAGGACCAATTGCCCTGTCGGACCAAGCATAACGAAGCTTTTTATGTAACAAAGCTTTTCTCTCTCTCTCTCTCTGTCTTTCCCTGGCTTGTCTGTGCTACTTCTCTCCTCCATTGTTGTGACAGCACAAGTGCCAGTCGAGTTGCTCTGTATTAAGAAAATAGTGTTTTTATTATGATTTGAATTGTTATAGTTTTTGTCTACCTCAGCACCTAATCTTAGCCTAATCTTAGAAGGTGCCCAATTATTATTTTTTTTCTTTATTTTGTTCTCTTATTGTTGTCAGTTGTATAATTTTGTTTTGAAAAAAAAAAAAATTTGCATTAGAGCTTTGCAAAGGTCCTTTGTCTTTTCCAGCGACAACGTGCTACTTTTGTTTTGTTTTTTGTTAATTTTATTTTGTTTTTTTCCCGTGGCAGTACGTTTCCTGTTGAGCTGTGCCACCAATCTATAGCCACCGTCTGTTGAATATAGAGGTTGTTCTCTCTCTTTATTTTTATTTTTTTTTCTCGTTTCTTTCCATGTAGAATCAGACACATCTCTTTGTAACATTTCAGTGTTCTCTGATGGAGTGTGAAAAAAAATAAAAAGGAAAAATAAAAGATTTAATGCTGCAGGTTCTCTTCTCCATGTTGTCAATAAAGTCAATGTTGTGCCTTTGATAGTGAAAATATAAAGAATATTTCTTCTCTTTTTGTTTTTTCTCCCCCTCTATTTTTTTTTTTTACATCCTACTAACGGTAGACTGTTTTTTGTAGTGGAATTTTTTTGTATTTTTATTTATGAGTCTCATAATAAAAATCAAATCATGATGTTCAGTTGTATACTTTCAATCTGCAGTTAGAAAATAATAAAAAGTGGACTTCATGGTGTCTGTCTTAGGCCTCTTTCTCGCTCGCTGTTTGCTTCCTGAGTATTTAAAGAGCAGAAGGTGACATTAAACAGAAAATAATCACTTTAACGCGCTGTGTGTATTTGATCCTAGAATATAGTTTTATTGTATTATTGAGCCTTTAGTTCGAATCTCAAGACTTTCAGCCGAGCATCAATCTAATTATATTTAAATTTCTATTTTCATACAATACAAAGAAATACAGCTTTTTTACAGACTCATATTTTTTCATAGCCTCCTATTAAAGAATGAAAAAAAAAAGCTTCAGTCACTGAAATAAGTTGAAATTGATAAAAGTAATAGTAAATAAAAATTTAATGAAAATCATGACGTTGTTTTTGAATTGTGGTTCAACAGAAATATTAGTCCGGGACAGTTTTTCTTTTTTTCTTTCTTTCTTTTCCACCACAATTCAAAAGCAACGTCTTATTTCACTAAAATATAATTTAGCAAATTTTTATTTATTATTACTTTTTCCAGTTTCTAGTTATTTGAGTGACTGTTGTGAATTTTGTCTTTTCTTTAATGGAGGGGTGTGAATACATCTGAGGACGACAAAACATATAAAAAACTGTACAGAGTAAAAACTTTCCTTTTTCTAGTTTTACTGCACATTAAGATAAAATGCACAAATGTACATTAAAGCACAAGAAGTGAGAATATTCCAACCAAAGAGTTCCTAAAATCAAAATCATGCTCCCAGAGGTTGATCCCCGGTGATGGTCATCAATTTTTTTAAACATTTTTCTTTCCTGCAGGTTTTCTAGCGTCTGTTCGCGCTGAGCAGGCAGCGTTTTGTGCAGCAGTTTTTTTATTTTTTGTTTTTTTTTTTTTACAAAACTGCTCGTGGCCCCGAGTCAGTGGCTCGGAGCGTGTCTGCTAAGTAGCATGTGATGAAGTACGTTAATGGAGTTTGGTAAAACAACATCCCAACTCAAATTGAAATGTTGCTCGTTAAAGCTCAGCGAGTGTTTTAAACGAGGGCTGCAGGCGAGGAGGGAACGACGTCGCCGCTGAGGCCGGACACGTCCTCTCACGTTTATGTCAGTATGATGTCGGTACAGGCTGCGTACGAGCTGCCTTAACCTGTGGGTGACGTTTATTTCTACGGTCAGTATCGTCCTAAAAACATTAGAGGCCACAAACTAAGAGAAACTACAACATTACTCATCAGATCTGTTCAGGAAAGTCGTGCAGAAGCAAAGCAGCAGAGCTTCACGGTACATTCTTGTGTTTGTCGCCACCGTTATTCAAAGAGACGTTTCTTATTTGAATGAAGTCTCTAAGTACAGATGTGGCAGAACCTCTAAAAACTAAAGTATTTGCATATAAAGTCACCTGTAGAGAGACGACATTTTCTCAAAGGTCCTGCACAGAAACCATCAGACAGTTGTTTAGATGTTTAAGTCTGGACTTTGCAGAAGTCGTCTGTCAGCTTCCTCATGCATGTTTTTATTTTTTTTTATTATTCTACTACCATTCATATAAAACCTTGGGAGAACTGAATGATTTGCAGGTTTATATTTTCCTCTCTGGTCTCTACTAGAACATCCTTTTTCTCTCACCGTGCTTGGCTGCAGCACCTCTTCCACCTTTTAGCTCCTGTCTCTTTAAGTAACACTTCCTGGTCTGCTCTGATTGGCCGGCTGGGAAAAACCAGGTAACTTTGGTTCTGCTGTGGTGAGAAAACGAACGATGGCCGACTGCAGGGACGTCTTTGTTTGAGGCCAAACTCCTGCTGACTAATGTGTAACCTGGTGATGTGGATGAGTAACGGAAGAGCAGCCTGGACTTCACATCAGGTGTTTCAGGCAGGTAAGAACCAGAGATTCTGTGGTTAAAAACTTCGGTCCTTCTTAGTTTGCAAACCTGTTAAATGCACAAGTTACATGGAAAGCCAATAAATTACACACATTTTGCTGCTTATGTGTCCATAAAATGACATAAATTACAACTGGAGCCACTGGTGCTGTGCCATGAAGTTGCAGGTTCAGTTTAAAATGCGTCCTATATAGCAGATGCTGACACCTGAACGCCTCACGCAGACCGTGCAGTGTGAGCATTCTTTG